TGTTCATCTGTAATAAAGGCCTTTTCAGCACATATAAGTTGTTTGATTTTATTGGCCAGCTCCCACAGTTATTTTGGTGCTGATGTCTATGTTGTTCAGTATGAAACACAAAAACTGTCAGCAGCACATGTAGCAGAGCACGTGTCACTGCTGGGGAGGTAGTGGTGCTGAGTCAAGCAGTGTCTTCATGGTAGGTTGCTAACTAGTTACCGTTAATTTTCCCTGCTCCATATAACTTTAACATGTTGAATGTGCAGTCGTGACTCGATGACCCGACACTAAATGTAAAACCTTCTTCTATGTCGGATATCAAGGCTGTGGGATTGTCCAGACGGAGGTCCAGATACGAGGAGGGCTTGATGCTGGAAGGCTCATTAGTTGTTCATTATTGTTCATAGTTGTTATAATAACTAGTAGGGCTGGTCCCAGTAGAACTTTCTGCTCTCTGGATGTTCAGGCCCAGTTAATGATGAACATCAGAACATTCTGTGTGGTCGGGGGACACTTCCACCCCGGGGCAGCGCTCTGACGGGGTGGAAGTGTCCAGAACACACAGGCAGTACTTGGCTGCTGATGCTAGTTTAGTTAGCGCTCACACTTCTGTTTCCTCCATCAGTTTGTTTTTCCTAAAAATCTGTCGGACAGCAAGGTTTTCGGATTGTTAAAGGTCGGATTATCGAGTCACAACTGGACATGTTTCTGCACAGATATGTACAGCTCCTCTCCATGGCTGCTCCAGAGGGTCTCCAGGATTTGTGAAGGCCTTGGTGAGCGGCCTTCTCCTCCTGGTTTGTGCCCTGGTCATAAACTAACCTTCAGAGCAGCCGAATGGTTTGATCCCACTCTGTGGGAGGGATCAAAGCTCTGATCTAAAACATGTGCAGTTGAAAAGTGTGACTGTTATTTCTGAGCTGGAGTTTGTTTTACGTGTCTTTCGTCCCCCAGTTGTTTTGTGGGTTAGATTTTTCCGTCTTTTGTTGACATACTTAATTTAACAGTGTGTGATGTTGTGTCTGTCTGGTCAAGTCTCCTTCAAATAAAGAGGTTCCTGGTTGACTCCAGAGGAAGTACACTGGCTGATATATTCATATAAGAACTGTTGTCAGCATCCACAACGACCTTTAAGTCAAATGTTTGTGAGCAGCTGATCTCTTCTCTCAGACATAAAACATTTAAGTCAGATTGGATGTCTTAGAGCAGCAGGTCCCACGTCTACAGACTGTAGCTCCCTTTCAAAGTCTGTATTTGTCTCGGCACCCTGAGACAACCAACATCACATAAATGACCACGATGTGGGAGATCTGGGAGCCCCTCGGCAGGCTGCAATACTCCACCAGAGCAAAATAACAGTTTGAGTTGGGAGGAGCAGTAAAGTATTGATTAGTGCAGCATGTGTGTGTGGTTCTGACTTCAAGCTGAATGAGGCAGCTCTTAAACTGTCACAACTTGTAATATTTAGCTGGCGGCCTACTGCTATATTCATTTATTTCCTGTGTTCAGACAGCTTTTAAACATGTGAGTGCATCTTCTCTGATTGAAATAGACTCTAGTGTAAAAAAGGCACTTTATTTGCAGGAAGGGGTTTATGGTTGACAGCTGAGTGACCCGTAGCAGAAGTTTAACTGAAGCTACCAGTTTGATAAATGGAAAGGGAAAATTCTCCTGGTCTGCAAACGAAAAGACTGAAGTGTGTTGATGCCACGTTCCTGCTCATAGAGTCCTGATTTAGACTAAGCATTAGTTCTACATGAGACAAGTTGTCCCTACAGAGGCTTTAAAGCCAAACAGCCACCCTGTTATTACTGTACTGGGAGCCACGCTTTGTCTGGTGGAAGCTGCGCCCTGCACTCAGGACTGACGTATGGCTGGTCACACACATGCACCAGCATCCAGGAGAAAGCATCCAACGTGTTCACACCTGATGTCGTCCTTCTCGTGGTAGATGTTGTTCTGGAAACTGGCCATGCGCAGCAGATCGCTGCCTCTGGGATGTCGCCAGCACCAGCGCTGCAACAAAAAGCACCAAGTCTGTAACAACACACAGTCCCCAAAGGCTGCATCTGCATTCATCTGTAGTTAGTGTGGCAGGAATGTTAATAAGCAGCTCGTAGAAGATCGCTCATCATAACACATCATGCTCGCTGAGGTCAGGGAAGGCTTGTCTGAAGAGTTTCTACCTTTTGATCTTCTCTCAAGCAGCAACAAGAGCTTTGGCTGTAAACACATTTTTCTAAAGGCAAGAACACGGAGTCAAAGCTCTTCTGAACTCTTTGTGGTTTGTTCTGACAGCAAGGTCAGCTCTGGATTTGAAAACATGCTTTGATCTATTGCCAGAAAAGCCGGCGAAGGACTTCCTCAAGCAGCTCGCGGTAGAGAAAACGCCTTCACGTGTTTGTTTCTACGGAACAAATGCAGGAATAAGAACTCTGAACGTAGTTGTATGGGAGTGAGGCCTCCTCCTTTCAACACATGAGCTGATGAATCAGTGTGACGGTCAGCAGTGTGAACAGAGTCGTGACTTGAACCAGACCAATGCTAAGAGCACTCACAGGGATGCGTCCTTCGTTGAAGTGGGCGAAGCTTTTCTTCAGTTCTGTGTCTAGAACCTTCTGTGGAACCACGATGAACCTGGACAGGCTGAGAGAACCAGAAACAACACTCAGTTCTGCTGACACCATGTACACAGGATGGATGGACTGTTATGTATGAGACACATGAACCAGTTTGAAGGCCTCTACTACACATGCTCAGTGGAGTCTCTGCGTCTCTTACAGGACTTCATCCTCGGCTTTGTGTATCTTTGTGTTTGTAAAAGAGTGCTTTCAAAGCTCTCTCCTGTCAAGGACGTACAGGCCGATGTGTTCACACGCTGCTGGATGAGCTTGTTCTGTATCTGCAGTCAGTAGTAACGCTGAGGAGGTGATGGACCAGCAAACCCTGATCTAAAAACACCAGATGTGGTTTTTAAATATCACAGCTTCACACATTCGGTTGTTCCTGTGAATGTACCTGGTGGACATCTCGAAGCGGTCGTTCACGGAGCTGACTCTCCAGCTCATGGCTCCACACCGCTCCAGCTCCTGCTCCCAGTCTGAGGCGGACTCAAACCAGTTCATGTGGGTGTCTCGGTGACGGTTGCTTAGAAACTGCTTCATTTCTGGAGGAGGAAAGTGATTCAAACACTTCAGCTGAGATTTCTATCCTGTGCAAAAATGCTGTGATGCTTGTGACAGCAGAACTTCTCTAGTTCTGTTCTACAAACTCTGCATCTATGCAGGAACTGAGCTGTGGTCCTGAGAATCAGAGAGTTAATTCAGCTGCATGCCCGTGAATAGAGCCCTGGCTGCTGCAGATTGTTTATTTCTGTTATTTTTAGCAGAATGATGCAGACTTTCTTCTCCAGCTTCTCTGTTTCATATCACTGGTCACTGAAGAGGTTCGTGTGTTGGACAAACCAGTCATTCTAATATATGGGATGCCAGATTTAATAAGCTTGTAATACGAGTTTCACTTATTTTCTTTATATTTTACAGCTGCAGCCATTCAAACAGAATGAGAAACGACTGGGCGCCGGCTGTCCAGTAGGCAGCCGACCTTCAGACGCTTTTTATCAGCTCTGAGCTCGACTGAAATCGCTTTGAAGGGCGATAAAGAAAAACACGCTCCCAACAATCTCAAGGTCTTTGCACCACTATGTTCATAAATGACTGCCACGTCGTCTCAGGGTTTGGTGTAGCGTTCGTGGCTTCCTGTGAGGCTGACCACACACCGGACACACTTGACCCCTGGGCTAGAGTTGAACTGCAGGTCATCCAGCGACTTGTCTCACGGGGGGGCCTGCATTATTTATCCAAGAGCTGACAATAATGAGCAGCCTGGTCAGCCTAGCGTAGCTGTAGCATAGCATAATATAGCGTACAGACAGGCTCACGTGTCCCTGTGTGGGTTAGGGTTAGGCTTAGGGAACACATAGCGGCTTGCTGTGTGTTCCTGCTGAGAGCTGCTGCTCTGTGAGGGATGTGTGTTCTGTGGCCTGAACTGAGGAGACTCCTCCTCTCCTATAGTTTAAATATACATTTATGTTGGAGGTTTAATCAAACCGAGTCTTTCGATCACTGTCGAGCCCTGAAACTTTTGGTGAGTCTCTGTTTGAAGCCGCTGAGAGATTCCTTCACATCTGGCTTTGGTTTCAGAGACACTGGCTTCATTGCGTCATCACAGAGGAGAACGTTTCAGATCTTGCCAGCCAGAGAGGATGTGAGCTTTATATGTCATTATGGTCGGCACAGACACCAGCATGTTTCCAGCTTCACATTCCTCCCCAGTAACATGACATTCAGATGCTGTGGCAGAAGGCAGAGACAGACGGAAACAAAAGCAGATGGCACGGAGCTGAAGACACGGATAAACGACAGTCTGATCACGGTTCTGGGTACGTCCCGTCTCTGGAGCAGGAACGGAACCAGAACACGATAGAGACAGCAAAGGAGGAAACTTTGAAGGCTTTGAAAGCAGCACATTACTGACGCCTTCCTGCTCTGACTCACGTGGGCATTTGCTTCTCACTTCAACGGAGCTGTTACTTCCGTGAATATTCATTTGAGGTAAAATATGCACAGAAAGAAGTGAATGACAGGCGGATAAACAGTGGAGATGGTTGTCTGTCAGTGGTTTTCATGATCATCCCTACAGACCGTTTGGTTTCAGAGGGATCTATATCAGGGCTGCACCATACGTCAGCTCCACATCACAATGTGCTGTTTGATATCAAACAGTGGGACAGTCCTCATTCCTCACGCCTGATCTACACGGACGTCTGTCTGATGGAACATAGTTTACTCCAGTTTAATAGTTGAGGGGTTACTTCAAACCTTGTTCACAAAAGACAGAGTTTGCTGACAGAAGCTCTACATGAGCAGGACGGAGAGAAACGCTGAAAAGGGAGATTTGGTTGAAAAACACACAACATGTGGAAATATTTCAGCTGCAGACAGGATGACAAGCACCGTCTTGGTAATCACACTAATTATTTGACCATTTAAATAAGCGGATTTACGACGAGGGCCACGCCTGATGTAAATGTCATTCAAAGATAAACTGCTGTGGATGCCGTTGCTGGAGACAGATCACATGAGCAACAGTTTAATTATGTTCCATTTAAATCACCCTGATTGTTCTGGAAAGATCGATGTTTCCAGAATAAAGTTGTTTATGTCATCCAGTGAAGATTTCTGTTTTTTTTAATTTCACAGAAAAACACAACATTGCCGTGTGTGTGTGTGTGTGTGTGTGTGTGTGTGTGTGTGTGTGTGTGTGTGTGTGTGTGTGTGTGTGTGTCGCCCTCATTTCTGTTGTTTAGTTTATGAACACACTGCGTACCTGCCTACATTCTACACTGTGGTGTATGAAGACTGGTGCGTCTACATCCAGACACACCTTTGTGATTAAACATAAGACACAACCTGTGATCTTTCAGTCCAGTGACGATGTTCCAGAACCAGCCTTTAGGTACCAAGTCAACACCAAACGTGTGAAAATGTGAATATACGTGTTTTTTATGGTTCTGAAAGTACCGCAGAGGAATGTGATTTCTCTAGATGGCATCGGCAAGCTTAAAGTCTTAAAGATAAGTTAGAATGATCACAAGCCAAACAAAACGCTGAAAAGGAGGAAACACCTCAGACACATCCTGGCAGTTTAAAGACAGACACACGGATCTGCTCACAGGATCATTTTATATTCATAGACGTCCTGAAATGTCTGAAGTGCGACAGCTGCATCTGCTGTAGTGATGCTGTGCAGACAGATGTGCTCACGAGGCTAACTTAGCTTGTTTAGCTCACGTCACAGGGTGCTACGCAGCCTCTGTGGTTTTTCTAATGGTCTTTTCACAACATCACCAAGAAGAGCACACAGAAAATATGACGAGTCACATCTAAGTCCTCACAAGGAGAGCTGCTGAGAGAGTTTCATAAGACAGTGATGGTAGCTGAAGGCTACATCCCACTGTGTTTAGAAAGCCAAAACGGTTTCATGTCTTTATTACAGCTACCTTTTCATTATTTGCATTCTATGTTTGTACACCAGGCAGCCGGACATGGCAGCAGAGTCGACTCTTTTATTATTTATTTGGTTTAAAATAACACTATTATGTAAAAGCTCCATCCCAGGTTTGGTTTGTTTGTTTGTTTTAAATAGAAAATTCGATGTTGTAATACAGTTTACACCATATATAGTGAAAAATGGCATCAAAATTTGCAAAAGTCCAGTGGTACAGGGACAAAATGATAGAAATGGAAAAACATGAGCTACAATAAAGTGTCCTTCTAGATCCCTGAGGAGCCCAACGGCCACAGGAAGGCCACGGCTGGTGTATACATCGATCCACTCACCTACACTCCCCAGGGCAGCGTTCTGGAAAGATAAGACGGACCCAGATTTGGCGGTCTTGGCGATGGTGTAGGTTATCTGAGGAGGGAAACCACAGTGAGCCCATCAACATGACAAAGGTCATCAGCTTTCAACACAGAGGCCGTTCAGTGTGAGACCAGCTCCTCCACGCAGACCGCTGATGCCTGTATGACGGTAACCAGAGCCTCAGATCCAAGGCACACAAACAATGAAGATGCACCTGTATGCTAATCCTCCCCAAACGTAACACACACACCTCTCAGAGCAGAACTGTCTGTGAACGGCTGCTTCTGCAGGATCTGGACTCACAGCCAACCCAGTCACACGTCTGCTGAACACGGACTCACCTCGATGACCTGTGCGTCCGGGGTGAGGCGGTCAAACAGAAAGCAGATGACCCGCATGTCCCTGCAGTAAAGCACCAGCTCCTCTGGGGTGAACTTGAGCGAGGAGCTGGGGGTCACCAGCTTGGTCCTGTTCGGCCCCACTGCAGCATAAAGGCATAAATATTAAACAGACCAATGGGTGAGGAGCCCAAGAGGTCAAGAGTGTTCATGTTTAAATCCACCTGCTTATTGTGAAAGACAATCATTTGTTCCTGCTTCTACTCTTCTGAGCCAGTTTAGCACAAACATAAAGATGAGTGTAAAGCTGAGGTCCTGGAGCCTCTACTGTGACCGCAACATGAACATAAACGGTCATAACAGAGATTTGTCTGAGCCTGGTATTGGATATTTAAAAGCCACACTAGTCAATCAGTGCCTATTAAAGCATAAATTAAACACCTTTTACTGATCCTGAGGTACAACGAGGCCATGAGGCCTGACTTACCGACGACGACCTTCTCTATAGACGCCAAGGCCACGTCATGGTCTCCCAGGAGCACCGGGTCTGCGTTGTCCTGTTCCAGTAAAGATCGTGGAGACAAAACAAACAAACATGAGGTTTCTATAGTCAGACGACACAAACAGACATTAGTCCTGTTTGAAGGGAATGAACACCAGTAAAGACCAGTGTGCTTCATGTGGTTCTGTCCTTCACACAGACGATGACACCACCATACTGTCAGCATCAGGGCTGCAGTCATATCAGTAGTCTGAGGATTAGTCCGGTACCGTTGGCACCATGAGGACCAGAGCTGTGAACCCGCCCAGCCTCCTGCAGCCTGTGTTTTCAGAAACCAAATGAACATGGGCAGCTTGTTTTATAACTTCAGCAGAGAAGAATAAAATGATGTAACACACTGCAAACACGAGCTTTACATGTTAGGATGCATTGAAGCTGTTGAGGCCAGAAGACCGAGCACGCTCAGTGCGCTGCAGCTCACAACCTGCAGATTCTTTTATCTCTGCGACCAACAGATTCACTGAAGAGGGTTCAGCTTCAGATGAACAAGGTTTTCTTTGGTTGACTGCAGCCCTGGTGAGTGCTTAAATCAGAGCAGGTAAGGGACTCACATCCGGTTTGGGACTGTCCTGGGGCACAAAGGCCACTCTGAAGTGGGTACAGAAGAGAGTCCCGGACAGCCAGCCTCTGCCTTCCCTGGCCGTCAGCTTCTTCCTCACCATCACGGCTCTCTGAAGCACACACTCACCTGGAGGGACAGAGGGGAGGGATTAGAGGGCGGAGCTCTGGTGACATACGTCCAGGAAGAGCTTTAGTTTCTGACACTGAACCTTTGGACCACTTGTGTAGGTGGTGAGGACACAACAGGAAGTGTACAGACAGAGCAGCAGCAGTGTGACTGTGGGAGTGGGTGGAACAACATCCTCCAACAAACGCTGCGTCCTTGAATTGTTACAGGCCTGCAGCCAGCCGGGCCGGGAGGAGCAGAGGAACCACCGGGCCGGGGGGAGCAGAGGAACCACCGGGCCGGTTTGTACACACGGTAAAAACATCTACAAGAAATGTTCTGTATGTTTGAAATACACTAAATATCACAACAAATACCCATCATTTATCTGTAAACCTCCAACTCAGCATTTCTAACCTTAACTTTAAATGTTTGCAATTTTACAAATAATTTCTGTTTATGTAGATTAAAGTGTTAAATACTGTGAATATATATTTCTAAAATCAGATACAATTAGTGACAATTAACAGAAGGTATCAGTGCTGTGGCTTCATTCATCTGCACATATAAATGATGAACGTGTGTTTTCATCAGCGTACAGCTGAAGTCACACAAAATACGGTTTTTATCAGTTATATTATGTTTATACACAAACACATACAAATGATCATTCTTGGTATTATTATTATTTGTATTTCTGTAGTTTCTCCACATGTACACATTGATCTATTATCATCGATAATAAACAGCTTTATTTGACTTTTCTGTGTCCCTGCTCATTAACAGTTCAGCCCTAATTAAACTCCAGGTATGCCTCAGAATAAGTAAAGCATGGTTCTACCACTGAGGAACCTCAGAAATGTGATGTACGAACATATGATTGTGCAGGAAAGGCAGCGACACTCAGAGCTGACAGTGGATCAGTCAGTAAAGAGCAGGAGGTGGTGATTCAGACACTGAGAAACCTGTAAAGACAACTTAAAACGACATCTCTGTGGCTTTTTATAAATATCTATGGAAAAACACACAGAACAGCATCTCAGGAAACAATCAGCTCTGCTTGTATGTGAAACGCTAGAACATGTGCAGGACGTTCTCAGTAAGAGACGACTCCCAGTTCCTGGTAGAGAGGAACGCTGAAGAAGCTCTGAAATTCCAGGACCAAGCTTCCAAAAACAAACCTTTTCACCCAAAATAATCTTTTACACACACACACGCATGCACGCACGCGCGCGTACGTACATACACACACACGCACGCACGCACGCACGCGCGCGC